CAATCTAAAAAAAAAACTTTTGAGCAATGGAATTTTTTTTGGCTTTCAATTTTACAAAAATTTTTTGACCTTCAATTGGCTTTAAATTCCTGTAAAACTATATCCTTAATTTCCTACTAGAAGCAAAAAAAATTGACACACTTTTTTTTTTATAAATTGTGAGGGTCAAAAAAAGTACGAATTCAACAAATAAATCAATTATTTTCATTTTCAATTTTTATTTCATTCCATTATATTAACAATTGATATTCTTACGTACAAATATTAAAATGAAATTATGCAAATTTGCGCCTTGCTTTATAAATTTTACAAGAAGAAGAATGAATGAATGATTTATGATATCTTAAAAGAAAAAAAAAACGTAGGTAAAAAATTAACAAGCATTTTTTGATGAGCATTGTTGAGTGGTGGTTCATTTGTCATTGTCATAATTTTTTTTATTTTTTATTTTTTGCAAAAAAAAGAACATGTTGAAATCATCGAGAGAGAAATCACAAAAAGCAGCCAAAAAAGAGAGTAATTTTCCAACTGGCGTAATAGTGCGTTTATTTTAAAATTCATTTGAAATATGTTTATTTGATTACCTACTAATTTAATTTTTTTTATTCCTCAGTCCTAATCATATTGCTCTAGTAAACATGATACTTTGATTTAAATCAAAAAGTTGAATGAGCAATTTAGATGACATAATTAATTTCAGGTAACAGTAATTTTGAAGAAACCTTTTGGTTTAAGAATAAACAAAAATGATCTGAGGGTAAGTTTTTGAATCATACAAAAAAGTAAACTGTTTTGTGAAGTATTAAACAGCCAATTGATTATATCTAACATAACTCATTCACTTTAATCTCGAGAAATACTGAAACGTTTTTGACACTCTGAAGCAGTACAATTGAATTTATTTGCCATACAAAAATTTAGATTAAAATGATTTAGAATTAGATATTGAAATAAATAAATAGATGGCTAGCCAAAAAATACCAAAAACAAACGGAAGATGAAGGAAGAGATGTAATTCTCAAAATTAAATATCATCTAACATTGGATTTTCAGAATCATTTTATTGACACTTTAGCTTAAAAAGAAGTAAGGAATGTCTTCCGAGGATAATCATGAATACTAATGATTATTTCTTAGAATTGTAATTATTACATTATTTGTAATTATTATATTAGAATTGTAATTATTATATTATTTTGCATTTTTATAATCACTATCATGTGCTTTTAGAAAAATTCATTTATTCATTCATTCAGGTACATATTCTGCAAAATTATAGATTACAGTTTATTTCATTCCATCTTTTTTTTCAATTATAAAAATTGGAAATGCAGGTAACATTAGTGGGATCACGTGGCTCATCAATTGGACAAGTTGGTGTGGGTGATAAAATCGTTGCAATAAATTATGAAAAATTACAAACAATTAAGGATTTAAATGAACAACTCTCTAAACCAGGAAAAGTACATATTTTTCTTTATATAAATGACATCATAAAATTGTGATCAAAATTCGTTTCAATTTCAAACATTGTATATTTTTGCTACAAGTAAATCATATTAAATTTTCTCTTTTTTTTCTTGCAATTTCATTGTTAAAAAATAGCTTATTTATCATTATTGATTTACTGATAAAGGACTAAAAAATATCGCAATTCATATTTCTAAATTATCAAGAAAAATCACAAATTTCTATTAAATGAGGACACAAATTAAAGCAGTTATCATTTTATCAGGAGGCAAAAGTTACATTGGAACGATGCAGTTTTTCATGTTGCAAACATATGATTACAACCGTTGAAACATTAACTGTTGAGAAGGGAAGTTCATTGAAGGTATTACGAGCTATTGAAGTATATATGGTATGATATTCGTGATATTATTACTAAAAAAAAAAATAATTATTTAAATAAAAATTCAAGAAAAAAAAAACTATTAACATCCTGACATTTCTTCTTATTTTCCGGTGGACAATTTACGAGAAGAATGATAACAACACTGCTGTGTGACAGTATTATTTTCGAAGCAGCTATTGAAGTAGTAAATATGATTTTGTCAATTTGATTTGATAATATCGAAAAAATTTTCAGGTATTAATTCGAATAAAATCATTTCCGGATATGGATCTTGGTGAGGAACTTGGCTTATCCGTAAAATATGACAACAAAGAGCAATTACAAGTAGCATGCGTCACACCGGGCAGTTTAGCATCTGTTCATCTTCGACCTGGCGATGTTATTAAGTTAATTTTCCACTTATTGAAAATTAATTGTTGCATGTTTAAAATATGTAAGGAAAAAAAATGAAAATTAAATTATCTAAATTATATGATTGAAAAATTTTATCATTTACCGATTGCTAACTAACAATGAAATAAATTTACTTAAATACAAGTGATTAGAGGAAAAAAAAATTGATATATCGATTATACACATGAAAATTTGCAAAGCTTCATTTTTGTCAGGTAGATGCTTTCAGACTGATTTATTTCACAAAATAAAATCGATGTAAATTAAAATTAAAAATAATCGGTAATACTTTGACAATCAATCAATGCTAAGGTGAATATAAAATTGAAAAGAATTAAACAAAAAAAAAAGAAAAGTTGACGGGATTTGATTGAGAGAAAATTAAAAAAATAAAATCAATCAGTTTCATAAAAATTGCAGAGAAGTAAATGGTGAATATATAACAAGTAAAACGATGTTAGCTTTTTGGATAAGGCATGGTTTTGATACTAAAAGACAGGTATTAATTGCACAATTAAGCAAACATCAATTTGGCAAAGATTTGGTTCGGGCGCAAAATTCATTTTAATAATTAAATCTGATGAAATCAACATAACCCTCATTATTATAAGACAAGAAGAAATCTCATTAATTTCGTTTCACCGAAAACTTTTAAAATTTTGTTGAAAATCAGACCGAACTTTATGAGGAAGCACTTAATTCGAGAAATCTTAATTCTTTTTTCGAAATTAACAAAAAATAGCTTCAAATACGCAACTTTCTTTTTTTAATAATTAAGTAAAGACACTTATTTATATTACTCTGTTTAATAGGCAAGAAAAAAATGAATTTTTAAACAGAGTATTTGAAATTTTAGATACAAATAGTGATTCAAACGGGAGTTGTAGATGATATGCATATTGAAATGCCAGAGGATGTGCAACATATAGCGCAGAAACAGGTTTGAAATTTTGGCGAGATTAAAAAGTTAACATCAATAACAGCTTTCAACGGTAATAAAAATGTGGAATATCAATAGGCTAGTAATAAAGTTTTTAATTTGCAATAAGATCACACATTAGTGTTAATTCTTGATTCAAATGATTGGAGAGGGAGGGCAAATGATAAATCAACACTTGTCATCAAATTTATTTCTTCATTTAACTTCGCACTATTCAATTAGTAAAGCATCTATTTGCAGCTAAAGATTTTCAAGAGTTTAAAATCACCAAAACCTATGATCAGTTTGATAAAAAAAACTAATTCTTCAACCGGAAAACATATCACAATTTCCAAGGAGGAACCGAATGTAACGGAAATATGCACCGATTACGATCAGGCAACGTTGAAGCATGTTCATAAGAGTAAGTAAAAATCGCCATGTAAAAAAAA